AGCACTGATACCAGGCACTTCACTGAATGCTGAGCACAAAGTAAGAAATCTCAAAATGTAAATTTCCTCTCTGCCTACAGGACTCTATGATCAGTCACTAAATGCTTACGATGAGCCCCCAAAGCGAAGAAAAGATAAATGTTGCGCAGGTGCTCAAGAAATTTAAGAAATGTAGTTGCAGAAATAAAACCCGCCTAATAGAAAAGAAATAAGGTAAAAGACAAGCAGTATAAGCTCTAACTAAGTGATACTGAAAAAAATATTCTGACAAACTAGGGTTCTTTTCAGGTGAAAGTGGTCAAGGAGGTTTGGTCAGAGGAAGTGTGACTAGATCGGGGCCTTTGAAGGCTCCATAGTGTTCACGCAGCTGAGAGGAGGTGGGGCATTTAGGCAGAGAACTACCAGAGCGAAAGCAGAGAGGGAAACACTTCGGGTAGCTGAAACTAACAGGACAGCAGTAGAAAGGAGGGGTTGGAACTGACTTTATGGGACAACCTTGTCTTTGTCTACCAATTCAAGGATTTAAACAAAAACCAAGAAGTCATCGAAGATTTTTTGAGCTGAAAAACAAAATGATCAAACTGGGGTCACACAAGCAGTACCACATGACCTGCTATTGTTATCACTACGTATCACTCTCTGTGAGGTGTCAATCTCCTTCCTTTCGTTGCATTCAACCCTGCAAAAGATCCCAACCTCAGATCAGTCCAACCATCCACTTTCGAGACTCCTGAGCTTAAATCCTGACTTAGATTTGCTGAAGAAAACCAAACCCTGCAGAATGATACACAACTACTGTGTAGTCTCCAACCTGAGCAGGGCCCTCAGCCTGGCCCAGCCAATCTTTTTTAGTGTTCCTGGCCCACTTCCTCTTCTCTTTCCCAAGGACCAACTGTTTCTAGCTTTCACGGTTATCCTCAAGCCCCTCTACTCCATTGCCTCCCAGATCTTTCAGCCGGTGTCTCTGCCCCCTTCCTCTGAGGAACAACTGAGGTCAGTCATCAGACAAGGAAGAACTCTTTCAACTTTCTCCACCCAAGCCTAAAAACATACATATTTCAAATGCCCACCCAGACTTCCTTGCTTCTAATCTAAGCCCTCCATTTGTGATTTATCAATCACTTCCTGTCCCTTAGTTGGTTGTTCCTCATTTCTTTTTTTTTTTAAGATATTATTTTTTTTAAGTAATCTCCACACCCAACGTGGGATTCGAACTCCCCACCCTGAGATCAAGAGTCACATGCTCTATCGACTGAGCCAGCCAGGTGCCCCGGTTGTCCCTCATTTCTCATTTGTTTCCAATCTTCTCTTTATATCAGCCCATATAAGTTGCTCAAAGCTCTTCCATCTCAGGGAGGAAAAAACCCAACATAAAACAAAATCTTTCTCTGACGCCATATTGGCTTCCCCTTCTCAAGCACAGATGTCCATAGGCCTTCATCTTCAGTTCTCTTCCTGTCTTATTCTACACAGCCTCCTTGGGCAAACTCATCCATTCCCATGTCTTCAGCTACTATCTCTGAGTCATTAGCCAGCAAATCTGTACTCTTGCCATACTGAGCTCTCATGATGTCAATCTCACATTCCACCACCACTAATAGCATTCTCCATCTTTATGTGTCATTGATACCTCACGTTAAACATGTCCAAAATGGAGTATCTTCCCCCTAAATTTGTCTCTACTTCTATTGTGGATCTCTTTAAGGACTGACACTATCTATTTCGTCATTCATATAGAAAGCTAGGTGTCATCCTAGATACCTCAAGTCATTAACTCAGGCTAATTCTACTTCCTTAAGCTCTCCTATCCAACCCCTATAAATCCCCATTGCTCCTGCCTTCGTTCAGACCCTGACTACCTCTAGCTTAGGTTACTCAACCACTTCCTAACCTCCTTTTCTGCTTCCAGCGTTGTTCCCTTGAATCTATTCACAAAATAGTTACTAGATTTGGCCATATAACTACCCTGCTTGAAACCCTTCAATGGATACATAAGAAACTTCATGGTGATTGTCTCTGGGGAAAATGGGGAGGGAGCTACAATAGGAGGAAATATTTACCTTTCACTTTAGTACTATCTGAATCATTTACTACAGCATGCACTACAAAACTAAAGTTTCAGCAGCTTCAAATGCCTACAATACAAGGTCCTTCATAATCTCCCTACTGGTTACCTTTAAGCTGCTCTCTCAAGTTACTCTTCTGTCCTGAAAGCCCTCCAGTCTATCCTTTCATCTTTTAAGACTCTGCCCAAATGGTACTTCCTCCCAACTTTTCCATCCCGAAGAGACCTCTCTCTCTTTATGTCTACTTTGTGCCGTAAATATACTTCCATCATGGCATCTACAGATCATGTTGTACGTCATATTTAAACAGATTGTTTGAAATGTCTGTCTCCCTCCTTTAGTCTTAGATTCCGAGGGCATAAAGTATTTCTTACTCATCCCTGAATTTCCAGAGTCTAGTTAGAGAATCAGAACTTGCAGAGGGTGGGGCTTGGATTAGAGTGTTTTGAAAATGCTCCTCTGGTGATTCTAACTCACTATCCTGTTAACAACTGATCTAAATTATAAACTCCTTAAGATCAGGAATCATTGTGACCAGCACAATGTGAATGATCAATAAATGGTTTCTAAACTGAAACTGAAGCAGACAAGTCCTGAAATTGAGGGAGGAAAGGTTGGAGCTGGAGATTTGGAGGCATCAGAATACAAGAAGGTGTGTGAAGCTGTGGCAGTAAATAAGCTTACTCAAGAGAGTACAAAGTGAGAGGACTTAGGAAGCCAGGGCAGACTTCTTTGTCACCCAGTAACTGCAGAGGACTCATTTGCATGTGTTTTTCCATCCAGACTGTGAGTTCCTTAAGGTCAGGAACTCTGTCCTATTCATCTCTGTTCACCTGTCACTGAGCACAGTGCACAGTACCTGTTAGGAGCTTAGGAACTTTTTACTGGTCTGCATCAGTGACACTGATCATAGAAGGAGGTACAATACTTCAAGAACACAAAGGAAGAAATGACTACTTTGGCCAAGGAGGTGGGGGCTGGAAATAGAGGTTTTCAGAGGGACAAGTGAGCTCAGTCCTGAAAGAGAAGTTCATTTGGCAGAGAAGTGGCCAGAACTTCCAAGCAGAGAGAACAGCAGGAGCGTAGGTACCAAGGCATGAAAGAGCACAACGCAGACACACCCCTTCCACGTGGCTGGGATTCGAGGGCATCACACAGGAAAAATGTTAGGGAGCTTTAGAAAATGAGGCTGAGAGGATCAGACTGTGAAGGATTTAAACCTGACTGTGGGTGGCCAAAGAGAAATTTTAAATTTAATCTGAAATGACCAGACCGATTTTCTAACTCGTGGCAGTACGAAGGGCAGAGTCTTTAAAGAACTGAGACCCAAGGGAAGGAGCTTAATTAGCAGCTCCCCGTCCAGCTAACAAACCCAAGCAAGGGCTGTATCCTCCTTAAGCCTGACACCCGAGAGAATACCCAAGATTTAAGTCAAGCGAATTCCGAATTCCGACTCCTGCTTGGGCCACCAAGCTGCACTTGTTTCTTCGGGTCTGAACTGGATGGAAAGTTCCAAAGTGGAAATGCCCGGGAGCCTTATGTTCTACCTTAGGGGTTCCAAGGCACTTCCCATCACAGCCCCACCCCTGCGCGAGGACCACCTGTAGAGAGAGGCGCGGGGACAACGCAGGAGCTTCTCAGGCGAACGCGGAACGCCGCGGCCCCTACTCGGGACTCGGGGTGGAGAATTGCGCGTGCGCATCTATCGCGCAAGCCCCGCCCCCTGCCTTGAAAGCCGGTGGCGGGAAACCGGGCTCAGCGACTCTCGACAGTGCCCCCGCGCCTCCGAAAGGACGCTGTCCCCTAGAGCCCTCTCTCCCACACACTCACCCGCTCCCCGCCGGTCCTCAGGATCCCTGCGGAGCCAGCAGCCCTCACGCGCCGCGCCGCAGCCTTTCCCGCCACCCGACCCGGCGGGACTAGTCCCCGCCTGCGTGCGGAGTGGGGCGGGGCGAGCCGGGCTGGTCCATGTAACTCCAAGCGAGCGGGGTGGTGGTGGAGGTGGTGGTGATGAAGTAAGGAAAAGGGAAGCGAGTACAAGTACTGTTTTGTCTGAGTCGATCCCCTATATCGAGCTAAGAACCACAGCGCTATGAATTTTCTGCTGACTTAAGAAAGTAGGGATCAAAGTCCGATTAGAGGTAAATTTACAAACATTCTTCCCCTTCTCCTAGGCAAGTGGATTTTTCCAAAGTCTCAATGGTTAGTTAGAAAAATTAGGCTTTATTTGGGAGGAAGTGGAGAGTTGAGCTACGGGCTAGAGGGGTCTTTGCGGGCGGGGTGCCTTTCATGCTAGAGGTATAGGTTTAAAAGCTTGCGAAGCGTGCAGGCTCCTAAAAGGAAGAGAACAACAATAAATATTCATTGGTAAGTTGAGGATCTCCTCTGGACTCTGCTGAGATTGAGTGTATTTTGCCGATGACAAAAGAAGATAGGGCTCAGACGAATAATTATCTCCTGAATTATTAATCATTGAATAGAAGGAATCAGTTTCTGGGACATGAAGGGAGTTAGAAGAGATTTGCTGAAGATGAAAGGACACATGAGAGAAAAATGAAAGGACGCACACAAAAAGAGGAAAATAAAGAAGACTATAAAACTAGGGGTAAAAGCAGAAAGATACCATTTGAAGAGTGTTTTGATCTGCTCTAACTAAATTAAAACTCCGAGGGTCAAAGCCTCTCCCTCCTACGGCCCCCCACCCCTACCTCTGCATTTGTTCCAGGCATCAGATTTCCTGTTTTGACCTTAGGGAGCTCTTTGGCTTAAGTACCAGCTGCCTGGAAGCCCCTCTGGGGATGTCTGGCAGAATCGCTAAACTACTTAAATTTTCTAGATTCTAGGCTCACCCTACCCCTTTTTTAGGTTGGGAGCTCACTGGCCCAGGGCCTCCAAAGAGATCCATCATACCAGAATGAACACAAAACCCAGCCGGTGGATGTAGACAAGTTTATGTGGCTTTACAGAACAGTTCAAACCCCAGTGTTCACTTTTCTCAGAGCTACTTCCCCACCCAAGTCCCTGGGGCAAGCATCCCTGAGATAAGTAGGCTACACTCTCCTGTTAACTTCCCCAACTTTTTTTGGTACAATTGCAGCCTGATCTGGGGCTCATACCTCCATTTTCTCTCTCCCTGCCCCCAGCCCCTTCTCCCAATCCTTGGAATGCCTTGTCTCCATCTGCCTCCTGTGAGGAGTACTCCCTGCTTCCCTGCTCCCGCATAAACCTAGGGCCCTAATAAACTTGACTGGCAGCAGGGTGAAGGCCAGAAGCTTAAAGGTCTTGGTTCCCTGTGCTCACCACACTGGGTTGGGAGAGGAAGGTATAGGGTGACACCTTTTTTCCCTTCCCTACCTCTCCTGCTGTGCCCCAAAACTCAGACACAGCCACATTCACTCACATTCATACCATTCATACGCACAATCATGCACACACAGCGGCGAAGAGAGGTGGGATGGGGAGAAAGGGAAGGGAAGTTTGCACAAATCAGCTCATGAATGCAACTTGAAAGATTTCACACGGCAAAAGGCAAAAAAACACACACATAAATTAAAAAATAAAGAAGTACATGTCCCTCCCCCAGTCTCTTTCTTCATCCAGGGGCTGGCTCAGCCCCTCCGAGTAAACCCAGAAGCTTCCTACTCCCTCTAGCCAACTGGAGCTTTCACAGGGCCTGGGTCTTCAGTTCAACAGGTTCCCCAGTGCTCTCTGGTTGTCCATTGGAGTCACTGGGCCTGGCACCCTTGAGAATAGACAGTCTCTCAGAAACACTCTTGAGCCGGGGAAAGAGGAGAAAGTCGTAGAGGAGACTGCCTAGTCCCCCTCCAATGATTGGGCCCACCCAGTATACCTGTAGGAAAAGGAGAGGAATAATCAGACTTGGGGAAGGGATCAAGAGCAAGGCTTCTCTTTTTCCAACTCTATGGGTAGAAAACAGACATCTGTACTTGGCATATACAACTGGGCACTATTTAAGCAGAAACCAGTGTTTGTTTGTTTTTAAATTCTAAACTGCTCTACTGCCTGTACCTCGAAACTTACCATTTCTTTTCTGACTCACCAGATTAGTCCTTTATCCCACATATATATTCTATTTCTTGTTATCAGTTTTCACTAGTTTACAGATTGCTTTGAAAAAAATGTTTTAATTGTGGTAAAACATATAACGTAAAATTTACCACCTTAACCAATTCTAAGTGTACAGTACAGATATATGTTAAGTATATCATATTGTTGTGCAACAAATCTCCAGAACTCCTTCATCTTGCCAACCTGAATCTCTATACCCATTAAATAACAGCTGCCCATTGCCCCCTCTCCTGAACCCCCATCAAGTACCCTTTTGCTTTGTTTCAATGATTTTTGACTACTCTAGATACTTCACATAAGTGGAGTTATACAGTATTTGTCATTTGGTGACTGGTGTATTTCATGCAGCATAATGTCCTCAAGGCTCATACAAGTTGTAGCCTGACAGGACTTCCTTCTTTGTAAGGCTGAATACGATTCCAGTGCATGTAGAGACTACATTTTGCTTATCCACTCACTTGTGAGGGACACTTGGGTTGCTTTCACCTTTTGGTTATTGTGAATAATGCTGCCATGAAAATAGGCTTACAGCTTTGAAAAATTTTTTTAAATTATTTCTGTATATTTGGCTGGCATATGGCCAAACAACACAAACATAGCCAATTTTTATTGAGGTCTTAGTCCATACCATATTCTGTGCTAAATATTTCACATATATAATGTTCACACTTATTTCTGTTAACACCCCATTTTATGGTAAGGAAACTGGGGTGCAGAATGACAGAGTCATTTGCCGTGGTCACACACAAGGCCAATAATGTGCTAGAACTGGGATGAGGCACAGGCCCATCTGTACTCATATACATCCTGAGCTCTGAGAGTAGAAGGTTTTGACTCCTTGTTCAGTTGTCTATCCTCAAAGTGCTAGTTTTAGAATCCTGTGGATACTTAGTAAAAATCCCTGACCAACCAGTGAAGGAACAATATGAGCAAGAGCCTCTCTTTCTAGCAAAATAATGAATCCTGTTCACACAGGCATGCCAAACTCTGTGACAGCCCCTTTAGCTGGGTGCTAGTAAAGCAGTTAACACATCCAGATGGAAAGCAGGAACCACACATGGAGCCTGCAGCCCACACCCACACAGGAAGGCTTCAGGATCTTGCCCTTCTCCCCTCACTCACCCAGTGGTTGGTGAAGTTTCTGGTGAGAATGGCAGGAGCAAAGGAGCGGGCAGGGTTCATGCCTGCACCAGTATAATACATCTGCAAAAGACACAGTCATAACTGAGACACTTTCCCCTCCTCTACCTCAGCTTCTCTCCCTACAACCCACATACCCCTGAGGGCTGGCACCTTGCCCCCAGCCAGCAGCAAGTAGGGAAGGACAAACTACATGGGGGCTCCACAGTGGAGGAAAGGCACTGATACCTTATCTGGGGTCAGACTATGGATCCATAGACAAAGCCCGCATCTACCCATGATGCATACATTTCCACCTTGGTGGGTCAAGAAGGACCAGATACAGAGGTCACAGAAGAGAGGACTAGAACAGTGTTGAATCCTCTTGTTGCCGACTGAAACAGAGTGAGGTGGACTATGTTCATGTTTGACAGTGAGCTGGGCAGAAAGAAACTTCAAAAGTTGCGAAAGGGCGAGGGGCCCTAGAATCCTTAAACAAGCAGTTTCTCCCCTTTCCTGCTTACCCCAAAGAGGTGCCCCAGGGTGAGGGAGAAGCCAACAGCCAGGGCTACAGATCCCAGGCGGCCATTCCGCCTCTCGTCGTATGTGGCAAAGATGCAGAGCACAAACTGGAGCGTCAGGAAGATCTCCACCGTGGTGGCCTGGCCCACACTCACCCCAGGGTGCAACTGGGCAAAGGAAGAAGAAAGGAGGCAGCTCGTTAGGGTTGCCACAATGTTACCTCCTCAAGGCTTCCCACACAGCAACCCCCTTATGGCCATCAGTTCCCTGGAGAGGGAGGATACAACCCCCCTCACAGTAATTGTATTTCTTTCTTAATTTCTCCTAATAATACCCCTTCGTGGTAGAAAGAATTGTACCCACTTATGCAGATGAGGAAGCTGAGGCTCCAGGCCCCGTCAGGTAAAGTAAGTTTCCTCAACAAACTGCAAGGAGTTGGAAGGAAAGCTGAAACCAGAACTCGGGTCTCTTGAGTCAGTCCAGGCCTTTATGCCTTCCTACTCCTCCAAACTACCTTTGACACATGCGCGTGCGCACACAGACTCGGACACACAGACACACACACACAGACACACACACAGACACACAGACACGCACACCATGGCCCACACCCCTGAGGAGCTGATTGGCCTCCACCAGGCGGGGAGTCAGGGTACCAGTTTCCTCCAGCCCCACTTAGCTGACCATTACCGTATTAAGTGCTAGGTTTCCTCGGACGGCAGGCGGGGTGACACTATACAGCACGGCGGCCCCAGCCACAGCTCCCAGGAGTTGGGCTGCCATATAGCAGAAGGCACGGAGCAGAGACATCTGGGAACCCACAAGGAAGGCGAAAGTGACTGCAGGATTGACATGGGCCCCGCTGATGTGGCCCACAGCCTGCACCAGTGTAGCCAGGGCCAGGCCAAAGGCCAGAGCCACCTGCAGGACGTGCAGGGGTCCGGGGGCCCAACGCAGTGAGGCCCCCAATCCGAAAAAGACATAGAAGAGGGTGGCAAAGAACTCAGCAAATATGGCCCTCCAGAAGGAGGCTGACCGCAGTTCCCACATGGCAGGGGGGATGGGCACAATGCTTGGGTCCCTGATACCCCCCTGGCCGTTCTGGGTGGACAGTCCCCTTTATAGAGGACTCTTAATCCCTGGGAGGGGCAGGCTGAAGTGGCTGGCCCAGCCTCTTAACCCCTTCACAGCTGCAGAGGGCTGGGCCCACTCTTATGCATCTGATAAAGCTGCTGGATTTTCCCCTCCCTCTTCCATGGGAGAAGAGCCATGGGTGTTGGTTAGGGTGGGGGTTGGAGTCAGGGCTAGAGAGCCTCTGAGAGAAAAGGACCAAGAACAGGGGGACTGTAAAAAGTCTGTTTTTCTTTTTGTGTCAAAGTTGGGGATCGTGATCCTGATTGACATCTATATTAGAACACTCCTCAACTCTGCTTGGAAGATCAGTCAAACTGAGTTCACTTCGTAGGGTATGAGACTGTGCTCCTGGGGGCCTTCATTCTTCTCTGAGTCGGCCAGGGGTAAGGGTGGGGGTGGGGGTCAGGGGTGGGGTCCAGCAGGGAAGTTGGATAACTGAAGAGAATTCTTTAGTTCTCTGGGATTAGAGGGCCTTTTCCCATTGGTTGGTTTGGTCTGGAATCTGTGGACCCTGCAGCTCTGGGACAGAATAGTTCTGCTGTGTCTGGTTTTCTCCAAGCCCAGGTTCCCTACCCCCAATCCATGCCGGCACCTCCCTTTCCAAACCCTCAGCCTGGCCTTGTAAACCACAGAGACAGGAGGAAGAACCTATCTGCCATGGATAGGTTGGGCGTCGGGCTGGGGGATTGGAGAGGAGAAAAGGGCTTAGTAGCTAAATTTCAGAACCAGCTTAAACTTCATCTTTCCTAACTCATAAAGTCCTAGCAGTAAGTACTGAAAAGAAAGTACTGAAACATAGTCATAGCTATGGAGCAATGGGAGGGTCTAATGCCTCCTAATATGGTCCTAATCAGGACCCTGGGGTCTTAAATTTGATCCCTAAGGAAAAGCCTGGGGATAGGGGTGTCTGGAGAAGCAGGCTGATCAAGGAGAGAGAAGAGGACAAAATGGGGTAGGAGAGTATGGGGAAAGAGGTGCAGTTGTGCTCAGGCTTGATGAGGGACCTGGGACCTAGAGGTGGGGGCTCTGCAGTGTTAGAGAAGGCAGAATGGGACACACTGGTAGGTTCTACCATTTCTACATCATGGCAAGTCATGCAAGTCACAAGCTTTTCCCATGAAGCACCAAGGAGAACAAAAATTTAAAGGAAAGTTCTGCAATATTGGTCCCCAGCATTGGTCCCATCCAGTATACCTGTCGGGAGAGAGGAGGAACACAGATTAGGGCCTGTGTGCCTCTCTTCCTCCAATATCCAGCTTGGGAATGGATAGGAACAGTTACAGCGAAGGCAGAGAGCCCATCTAACCCACCCACATGTAGAAAGTTGCTGAGAACAGGTCAAAGGGCACCCAAGAAGACTGGAGCTCCCAATTTTACAGAAGAGAAACAATCCATTAGAGATCCTTGGATCTCTTGGGTTTTAGAAGCCCCACCAATCTCCTCACTTTAGGCCCTGTAACCCTTGTTGCATCTCATCCAAAGATGCTCCCAGTTCCCAGTCACCTCTGTTGGCCCCAGGGAGTATGTAGGGTCCATGCTGATTCTGGGAAAGGAGCCCGGGACAGGACAGAGGGTAGTACGTCATGGTGTTAAGAGCAGAGACTCTGGCAACAGATACTTTGGTTCAGATGTGGATGAGAATACAAAGTGACAGAACTAGTTAAGACTGCCAGTGGGAGTGGGCGCCTGGGTGGCTCAGAGGGTTAAGCGTCTGCCTTCGGCTCAGGTCATGATCCCAGGGTCCTGGGATCGATCCCAGCGATTGGCTCCCTGCTCAGCGGGAAGCCTGCTTCTCCCTCTGCTTCTCTCTCTCTCTCGCTCTCTCTCTGTCTCTCATGAATAAATAAATAAAATCTTTAAAAAAAAAAAAAGACTGCTAGTGGGAGTATAAATTGGGATTACCACTTTTTTAAAAAAAAGATTTTATTTATTTGACAGAGAGAGACACAGCAAGAGAGGGAACACAAGCAGGGAGAGTGGGAGAGGGAGAAGCAGGCTTCCTGCCGAGCAGGAAGCCTGATGCGGCGCTCGATCCCAGAACCCTGGGATCATGACCTGAGCCGAAGGCAGATGCTTAACAAATGAGCCACCCAGGCGCCCCTGGATTATCACTTTGGAACACAGTATATAGCACCATCTTATAACAAACATACTTTCTTTTTTTTTTTTTTTAAGATTTTATTTATTTATTTGAGAGAGAAAGAAAGAGAGAGCATGAGCAGGGGGAGGGGCAGAGGGAGAAGCCGACTCCCTGCTGAGCAGGGAGCCCAATGTGCGGTTTGATCTCAGGACTCCAGGATCATGACCTGAGCCCAACGCAGCTGATTAACCGACTGAGCCACCCGGGCGCCCACAAACATACTTTCTGACCCAGGAATTTCACTTCTCATTTATATACCCAAGAGACACTTTCTTTCTTTCTTTCTCTTTCTTTCTTTCTTTTTCTTTTTCTTTCTTTCTTTCTTTCTTTCTTTCTTTCTTTCTTTCTTTCTTTCTCTCTCTTTCTTTCTTTCTATGGGAAGGAGAAAGAGAGGGGAGGGAGAGGGAGAGAGGGAAAGGGAGAGAGAATCCTAAGCAGGCTCCAGGCCTGGTCAGATGCTTAACTGACTGAGCCATGCAGGCACCCCCCAAAAGAAACTTTTCTATACCTACACCAGGATACATGTACGAGAATGTTGAGAGCAGCACTGTTCACAATAGCAAAAAAACTTGAAGCAACCCAAATACCCATTGATAGAAAAATGGATATATAGACACTGATATATGTGTCTGTCTGTATATATACATATATTTCACACAATGGAAAATTGTTCGGCAGTCAAAATGAGCGAACCTGGGGTACCTGGGTGGCTCAGTCAGTTAAACGTCTGACTCCTGATCATAGTTTAGTTCTCCATCTCAGGGTTGCGAGTTCAAGCCCTGCCTTGGGCTCCATGCTGGGCGTGGAGACTACTTAAAAAAAAAAAAAAAAAAGAGTGAACCACCACAGTGATACTCAATAATAGGGAGGAATTTTAGCAATAAAATATCAAGTAAAAAAAACCTTCTTATAGAGTTAAAAAAAAAATCGGGGTGCCTGGCTGGCTCAGTCGGTAGAGCATGAGACTCTTGATCTCAGGGTTGAGTTTGAGTCCCACGTTGGGTGCAGAGATTACTTTAAAAAAATCTTTAAAATATCTAAAATAAAAATATGCTTTTCAGAACACATACAGATAAGATGAAACTACACAAAAAAGAAAACAAAAAATGATGAACACAGGATTCAGGATGGTGTTTACCTCAGGCTGGGGCAGCAAGGGGATGAAGTGGAATATTTGTAGATTTCTGTGATTCTCAAGGTTCTAATTTTTCTGTTACATGGTTGGTTAATGATCATGCTTTTTTTTTTTTTTTAAAGATTTTATTTATTTGTTTGACAGAGAGACACAGCGAGAGAGGGAACACAAGCAGGGAGAGTGGGAGAGGGGGAGTGGGAGAGGGAGAAGCAGGCTTCTGCCGAGCAGGAAGCCCGATGCGGGGCTCATAACCTGAGCGGAAGGCAGACGCTCAATGACTGAGCCACCCAGGCGCCCCGGTTAATGATCATGCTTAATTGAGGTGCCTACATGGCTTAGTTGGCGAAGCATATGGCTCTTGATCTCCGGGTGTGAGTTCAAGCCCTCCATTGGGTACAGAGATTACTTAAAAAACAAAATGATGGGGGCGCCTGGGTGGCTCAGTTGTTAAGCGTCTGCCTTCGGCTCAGGTCACGATCCCGGAGTTCCGGGATCGAGTCCCACATCGGGCTCCCTGCTCGGCGGGAAGCCTGCTTCTCCCTCTCCCACTCCCCCTGCTTGTGTTCCTGCTCTCGCTATCTCTCTCTCTCTGTCAAATAAATAAAATATTAAAAAACAAAAAAAACCACAAAATGATGTGGGGTGCCTGGGTCGAGCCCCACAACTGAGCCACGCAGGCGTCCCTAAGTAAACCTTTAAAACAAAACAAAACAAAACAAAAAACAAAATGATGCTTAGTTTGCTACTTAAAACAACAACAACAACAACGAATTAGGGGTGCCTGGGTGGCTTAGTTGGTTAAACCTCCAACTCTGATTTCAGTTCAGGTCGTGATCTCAGGGTCCTGGGATCAAGCCCCATGTCAGGCTCTGCACTCAGCATGGAGTCTGCTTGGGATTCTCTCTCCCAGCTCCCTGTCTCTCCCCCCCACCCCCGCACCCCCCCTCCATGCCCCATAAGCTTGCACTAGCGTGCGCCTAGCATACACTATCTCTCACAAATAAATAAATAAATCTTAAAAAAAATTAGGGGAGGGGCACCTGGGTGGCTCAGTCGTTGGGCATCTGCCTTGGGCTCAAGTCATGATCCCAGGGTCCTGGGATCAAGCCCCACATTGGGCTCCCTGCTCGGCGGGAAGCCTGCTTCTCCCTCTCCCACTCCCCCTGCTTGTGTTCCCTCTCTCGCTGTGTCTCTGTCAAATAAATAAATAAAATCTTAAAAAAAAAAAATTAGGGGAATCCATATACAGGCCAATGAGGAGGGGATGTCATAAACGAAGGAATATCCCATGCACTTGAAATCCATAAAAAACAACAGAAACAACAAAAATCCTGGCTAAAGTTATCCCCACTAGATATAAATTCCAGAAGGGCAGGGATGTGCCTGATTTGTTTACCACTGCAAACCCCAAGCATAACACACAGTAGACAATAAATAAATCTTTGTTGAATAAATTAACATAAGCTCTCTGAGCCTCAGTTTCCTCTGGATCAAATAACATAATGTAAGTAAAGGCTTAATATACTGCCTGGTACAGAATAAAGCACTTAATAAAATAAATAGGAGCGATTTGATGAAGGTTTTATTAACAGCAAAAGCTTATCCCTAAGCGCCAACTCTACAATCTCTTGTAATAAGGAACAGAAGGGCAAAGTGCAGCTAATTCAATGCCC